TAAATATAAATAGTACACATGTTTATCATTTACTTATAAATACCCAACAGCTTTCTTATATTTGAAAAATTTCTGGACTCCACCAAAAAAGTTCTTTAAGAAACTATCATTAAAATTTTGACACAGTTCACTATTCGTTACGAGGGAGGAGTGCAGAGAAAGGGACAGCCAGGTGTTGGAGAAGCATGTGCACAAGTGCCCACCAAGTTATTGATTCATTAGCCTGTGCTTTGCCGTCTCCATCCTTTCAAAATTTTCAAATATAAGAAAGCTGTTGGGTATTAGTAAATGATAAACATGTGTACTATTTATATTTATGTGGCAATTTTGTACAATGATAAAATTTGCAATTCATCGGTCCGTTTCTGACTCAAACGGACTGTATACATACTGGATAATCAACAGCTCTGGTCAAAAGCCCATATACTTCATAATCCTCATGTGCCAGAACAGTCATTTAATTTTCAGCTGGGGAGAGGTGTCTTGGATTGGGAAAAGGGGAGATTTTTATGTGGATAGTGAAGCATACAACTTTACGGATAACAACTTCTTGTTTATTGCATAGAGGGAAGTTTTGGTGTAGATTCTGCCCCACTCGTACACAATACATTTTCAAATGTTTAACCTACATGGAATATCTGCCCCATTCGTACAAGAAACATTTTAAAATGTTTAACCTACATGTAATATCTGCCCCATTCGTACAAGAAACATTTAAAAATGTTTAACCTACATGTAATATCTGCCCCATTCGTACAAGAAACATTTAAAAATGTTTAACCTACATGTAATATCTGCCCCATTCGTACAAGAAACATTTAAAATGTTTAACCTACATGGAATATCTGCCCCATTCGCACATTTTCAAGAAACATTTTAAGATCTTTAACCTACATGGAATATCTGCCCTTATTCATTAAGAAACATTTTCATGTTTAACAACATGGAATATCTGCCCCATTCGTAAAAGAAACATTTTAAAATGTTTAACCTACATGTAATATCTGCCCCATTCAGACAAGAAACATTTTAAAATGTTTAACCTACATGTAATATCTGCCCCATTCATACATAAGAAACATTTTAAAATGTTTAACCTACATGGAATATCTGCCCCATTCAGTACAAGAAACATTTAAAAAATGTTTAACCTACATGGAATATCTGCCCCATTAAACATTTTCAAATGTTTAACCTACAAGAAACATTTTAAAATGTTTAACCTACATGGAATATCTGCCCCATTTAAAAATGTTTAACCTACATGGAAATTCATTTTAAAATGTTTAACCTACATGAATATCTGCCCTTATTCAGACAAGAAACATTTTAAAATGTTTAACCTACATGTAATATCTGCCCCATTCAATATTGCAAGAAACATTTTAAAATGTTTAACCTACATGTAATATCTGCCCCCATTCGTACAAGAAACATTTTTAAAATGTTTAACCTACATGTAATATCTGCCCCATTCGTACAAGAAACATTTTAAAATGTTTAACCTACATGTAATATCTGCCCCATTCGTACAAGAAACATTTAAAAATGTTTAACCTACATGTAATATCTGCCCCATTCGTACAAGAAACATTTAAAAATGTTTAACCTACATGTAATATCTGCCCCATTTGTACAAGAAACATTTAAAAATGTTTAACCTACATGGAATATCTGCCCCATTCGTACAAGAAACATTTTAAAATGTTTAACCTACATGGAATATCTGCCCCATTCGTACAAGAAACATTTTAAGATCTTTAACCTACATGTAATATCTGCCCTTATTCAGTACAAGAAACATTTTAAAATGTTTAACCTACATGGAATATCTGCCCCATTTGTACAAGAAACATTTTAAAATGTTTAACCTACATGTAATATCTGCCCCATTCATAATACAAGAAAAACATTTTAAAATGTTTAACCTACATGGAATATCTGCCCCATTTGTACAAGAAACATTTTAAAATGTTTAACCTACATGTAATATCTGCCCCATTCATACAAGAAACATTTTAAAATGTTTAACCTACATGTAATATCTGCCCCATTCGTACAAGAAACATTTAAAAATGTTTAACCTACATGTAATATCTGCCCCATTTGTACAAGAAACATTTTAAAATGTTTAACCTACATGTAATATCTGCCCCATTCATACAAGAAACATTTAAAAATGTTTAACCTACATGTAATATCTGCCCCATTCGTACAAGAAACATTTTAAAATCTTTAACCTACATGTAATATCTGCCCCATTTGTACAAGAAACATTTTAAAATGTTTAACCTACATGTAATATCTGCCCCATTTGTACAAGAAACATTTTAAAATGTTTAACCTACATGGAATATCTGCCCCATTTGTACACAAAAATGTTTAACCTACATTTTTAAAATGTTTAACCTACATGTAATATCTGCCCCATTTGTACAAGAAACATTTAAAAATGTTTAACCTACATGTAATATCTGCCCCATTCGTACAAGAAACATTTTAAAATCTTTAACCTACATGGAATATCTGCCCCATTTGTACAAGAAACATTTTAAAATGTTTAACCTACAAGTATCACATGCCACGTTCCTACAATTAAAGTGTGATACGACAGTTGTATACCAGCCACAATGGACAATGGAAGGCTTTATGAGGTTCAGTGGGTTTATATAAGTACAATGATACAGTCAATGAGGCGTGAGTTATGCGGCATTCGTGATGTTATAATAATGCATGCTGGGAGTAATCGTGCATAAATACCTGGTAATTTTAACAAGCAATGGGAGTCGTACGTCAACAGCAGTCAGACTCCTGGACTGGCGGATTTGGATACATGTTATTCCATAGCTGTATTTTCACTATTGCAAAGGTATGCAATAGTTAAAACACTATGCAATAGTTAAAACACTATTGCAAGACAGGTTTAGGAGTAGCAAAATAGTATCTGGTAATTTTAACAAGCATTGACAGTTGAGTGTCAGTTACACTCAATTTCTCTCAACTGATGGATTTGGGTTCTTCTATATTCCTTATAAGTAGGTGAGTTTAGTTTTACGCCGCTTTTAGCAATATTCCAGCAGTATCACGGCAGGGGACACCAGAAATGGGCTTCACACATTGTACCCATGTGGGGAATTGAACCTGGGCCTTTGGCGTGACGAGCGAATGCTTTAACCACTGGGCTACCCCTCCGCCCCTCGTTCCTTATAAGCATCATCACTATTTCAAAGATATACAATAGCTAAACACTACTGTAAAGTTGTTCTGGTAGTGGGATACATTGACAAGAGCCTCTACATCAGCTCAGTAGAGGTTTTTATCCATTTGATGCCACTGAAGCCCAAACCATCTGCTCAGATCAACAGAATTGAACCAACCATTATTACATTTCACGTAGTGCGTAACGACAGAACAAAAGTTAATAGAACATGACAAAAAACACATACATCTCTGTCTGTGTGAGTACACATGCCTAATTCTGAACACTTTTTCTGCCAAATTAAACATGACATTAATTTGTTTTTTCATGAATATAATGTTTAAATAAACAGCTTGTGGCTTTTAGTTTGTAGTTTTACAGGTGTAATAAATGATTTTGACATTTCAAAATGCTCCTTCTTCAAGTTTGTTTGCTTGTTGTTTAACGCCGCACTCAGCAATATTCCAGCTGTCGTACATATCTGTAGTACATGTGCCAACAATGACCCTTCAGCAATTATGACATCACTATTACCAGCCTTGTAAACATCACTGGTAATTAAAGTTACCAGGCCGGTCTGAAAGTTACCAGTCCTGAATTTTCAGGATTAAGATAAAATATAGGAGGTAAATTTTTTCAATGTCAGGTTATTGTCTGCAATAACACGCTTTTAAATGTTTTAAGTCAATTATATACATTTCAAAAGTTACAATTCAACAGCCAGACCATCGGATCGGTCTTTTTAAAACTGAGTTAATGGTTAAAGCGATATGAGCGGCAGTCAGTAAAGTGAGTTTATTTCTACAGCAATATTCCAGCTATATGGCGGCAGTCTGTAAATAATCAAGGGTGGAGCAGACAATCCAGTGATCAACATCATGAGCATTGATCTATGCAAATGGGATACAGTGACATGTGTCAACCAAGTCAGCGAGCCTGACTACCCAATCCCGTTAGTCACCTCTTATGACAAGTATGGGTTGCTGAAGATCAATTCCACCCTGGATATTCATGAGTGTCACCCAAGACAGCGAGCCTGACCACCCGATCCCGTTAGTCACCTCTTATGACAAGCATGGGTTACTGAAGATCAATTCTAACCCAGACATGTCACTGTATCCCAGTTGCATAGATCGATGCTCATGATGTTGATCACTGGATTATCAGTCTGACATATGATTCTATATTTGTCTCACAGACCAAGCATCACGACAAGCATATGTCAGCTAATCCCTCGTCACTGTGTTAAAGCTAATAAACTATCAAATTAAACTCAGGTACGTCAAAGATAGCGATTTGTTTGGCTGACTGACTGAGTTTGGTTTTACGCTGCTTTTAGCAATATTCCAGCAACATCACGGCGGGGGACACCAGAAATGGGCTTCACACATTGTACCCATGTGGGGATTCGAACCCGGGTCTTCGACGTGACGAGCGAACACTTTAACCATTAGGCTACCCCACCTCCTGTGATTTGTTTGGATAAATCCACAAGCACAGGTATTGTCTGACAGACAAGAATCATAACATTTAAGCTAATCCTTGGTCACTGTGCTCCAAATGATCAACAATCAAATTAAACTCAAATTTGGTGATTATATGGCGCATATCAAAGATGAGGATTTGTTTGGATAAAGCCACAATCACAGGTATTTGACCGACAGATGAAATGTCAGCGAGTCCCTAGTTACAAATGATGAACAGTGAAACTGTTTTATCAAAGAAAACGAATAGAAATATGGTAGAAATAACATCTGCAGCTGACATTATTCTACCAAACATAAACAGTATCAAGACCCACCATAGCTTTTCATTCCTCTCCTGGAAGCTTTGATTGGACCATTGGACCGGTTGTATTCCCGTGATGTATGGTAGTCCGTATCATATGCTCCTGGTATCGCATTTGAGTCACGCATTGGGTACAGACTATCATGTTCATCGATGAAACCGTTGGGAGGAGACATTGGAGAATCATATTCAGTCCTTGAGAATGGACGTCGTGGAATTTGTTTGTAAAATGTATTACCTCGCTGATGAGACAACCGAGAAAATTGTCCTCCTTCCTGTTGTCCATAGTAATGGGCAAGTTGTGAATCATGAACTTCAGCTCTCACAGAAAACTGGTTGCCAGCTCCTTGCATATGTGTATAGGAATTCAGATAATTACTGTCTCCATTGATAAGTTGCTTCACCCTAGGGAGACTGCCCCGCCTCCTAAGGGGGAGCTGGTTGTACCCACCTCCTCGGTTCGCAAGAACAAGTTGCCCCCGCCCATCCTCGATACTTCCATCATCCGACAGAATATCCACGGAACTCCGCCTACGCTGCATTCTCCTATCCATCTCATCTGAACAGGTCCCGTCCTGACCTGAATCCTCCTGATGTGACTCCTGACCTGAATCTTTCTGGCCTGAGTACTCCTGACCTGACTCTTCTCCACGGCCCTCTGTCACACTAACCCCTTCTTCCTCAGTGTCATGTTCATGACCTTCCTTAGCTTCTGGTATGTGTCCTTGTTCACTTTGTGTTGAACACTCCTGAGGCAAGCACCTGCTAGCGTGCCAGTCACTCTCATTGTGGCCTACCGATTGTGTATGGTCTTGTGTCACACACAGCTGTTGCTGGCTGTGTGATAAATCATCCAGTGAATTGCCTACAAGACCGTTTTTCTCTGATGCTAATTCACTTGAACTACAGACACTGTTGGCAGAGTTTTCTGGAATATTCAACATAGAGTTCCTTGGACTCTCTATAGGCAGGAAAAATATACCGTTAATTTTTTCTCTGGAACTTTTAACGTCTTCATATTCATACCTATCAATGGATGAATTGCCTTTGCCACTGCACGTGCGGCGCCGTCTCCTGGGTTTCGGACTCGCTATAACATGGTCAGGTGCTACGAAGGCAGCATCTGTTTCCCCTTCAACTACAACTTTTAAGACCCTTTGTTTTTGATCGCTGTTCCCACATTGATCTGGTTCATTGGACTGGTGGCTTACAATAGAAAATCCATCACTTTCTGCACAAGGTTGGCAGGTTTTCTCTACAGTAATACCAGGCACTTGATCAGGCTGTCCTTGTGAGACAAGTCCACCAGCTTCACTGTGATTGATCACTTCTACTGGTTGTCTCTCTATCATGTCACACTGGCCTTCCTTAATACTTAGGTCATCTTTGCCTGAGATTCCATCAGTTTCTTTTGAAACCTGACTTGATTTGTTTGCCCTTCATATGTACCTGGAAATCCATCAATATCTCTTGAACCACCAGAAAATCCTTCAGTATCTCTTGAACCACCAGAAAATCCTTCAATATCTCTTGAACCACCAGAAAATCCTTCAGTATCTCTTGAACCACCAGAAAATCCTTCAGTATCTCTTGAACCACCAGAAAATCCTTCAGTATCTCTTGAACCACCAGAAAATCCTTCAGTATCTCTTGAACCACCAGAAAATCCTTCAGTTTGTCTTGAACCACCAGGAAGTCCTTCAGTTTGTCTTGAAACACCAGGAAATCCTTCAGTTTGTCTTGAACCACTGGGAAATCCTTCAATATCTCTTGAACCACCAGGAAATCCTTCATTTTCTCTTGAACCACCAGGAAATTCATCAATGTTCATGGGACATGTTTTCCCTCCATCCCATCGACCCATCTGTTCATTCAAGTCACTCTCACACTTAGAATCTTGTTGATAGGCTCCAGTATACCCATCAGTAGCAATGGCTGGTTTTTCTTGTGTAATTTCAACTCCACTAGGCTCCTTACATTTGTTCCCATCTCTACAGTATTCCCTATGGTCTGCTGGATAGCTGTTTCCATCATCCTGACAATCTTCCTCTCTATGATGCGTTCCCGGAATAACACCCAAGGTATTCAGTGACACATGTTTGTCCTCATATTGTACAGATAGATTTGGAATCTGATCTGTAAGTTCAGGATTTGGTTCCGACTGCAACTGTTCATACCCTCTCATATTACTGTCATCATTCAGACACGGCACATCATATCCATCATTGTCATCCTGAGCATGAAGAACTGACTGCCGTTTGTGCTCAGGCACAGTTCTATCCGCTCATCTGAGATAAACCTCTAGGCTGTTCATCTATTCTGATACTGAGTGCAGTGTCCGACTTGTCACTTGTGGGAATTTCCAGCTGAGGTTGATGACCTGACTGCTCTTCATGGTAAGATTGTATTATTGGATCATTTTTATTCCTGCAATCCCCGTGAGGCATGCTTGCCTGATTCAGCGCATCAACTGGCTGGTTGGGATGGTGATTAACCTGAGGCTTTTCAATTAGTTCTTCTGTCAAGGTTGGTGGAGTGTACTGACTAGAATATTGTGGTTCATCGGTGCTCTCATCATCTGACTCATGTTTTGCTACAATATTCCTTTGGAATGGAGATGGGGTGCATCCTCTTCTATCTTGCTCTGTTTCTGAATCAACAGAATGCATGCTTGATTCAACATGATGGATGCTTGAATCAACATGAGGAATGACTGAATCAATAGACTGTTCACTTTGCCTCATCCGGTTCATTGGAATGGAGCTTACATCTCCAATACATATGTAACTATTTCTGCTGCACTCATAGCTTTCTGTTTTCACTCCTTCAGAAGGGACAGCATCATATTCAGAATGCAACAAACTCCCTTCACTGTCAATTTTATAATGATTGCAATCTCTCTGTTGGCCATTAACAGTTCTTCTGTCATATTGTACTGACTGTTGTGAAGTAGTTTGGACATTCTGTTGTGAAGCACTTGGAACATTCTGTTGTGAAGCACTTGGGACATTCTGTTGTGAAGCATTTGGAACATTATGTGGTGAAGCACTTGGAACATTATGTGGTGAAGCACTTGCAACATTCTGTTGTGAAGCACTTGGGACATTCTGTTGTGAAGCACTTGGAACATTATGTGGTGAAGCACTTGAGACATTATGTGGTGAAGCAATTGGAACATTCTGTTGTGAAGCACTTGTAACAATCTCTTGTGAAGCACTTGGGATGTTTGTGCTTGCACTTCTTGAATTATAATAAGCCCTGCTGTCATTTCCTACATGTTGTTGCAAAGCATCTTGTGAGATCGTATTTGCATTTCTTCTTGAAACTCTGGGACTAGAGTCAGAGCAATGCCTAATTCTTTCCTCCAGCCCTCCAAATTCATAATTCCCATCATACTGACTTCCAGCAGGACTGTTCACATCATCCTGCATCTCCTCTACGTCTTCATCACATGAATGAGCCCCACCTCCAAAACACTGTGACTCAATGCTATGTGGGTGCCTGTAATGGTTCTCCAAATGCCCAACACTGTCCACATGTTCACTGAATTGCTGTCTGTCTCCTTTCCTTACATCGATAGGACTCCCAGACAAGGAACTAATTCCTGAGTCTAGATGTTGATGATGGCGATAGAAACTTGGGTCGAAATTGCTTCTGATGTCATTCTCTTCCACATTTGTCCCCGAGAATTGCCTGCCCCTTAAAAAGGTCTGATCAAGGTACGGTCTTTCTGACTCCTTACTGGGAGACACATTGTGTAGAACTGGATACAATGAAGTACAGGGTCCTGATGAATGTCGATTTCTGTGGTGGTGCTGCTCATAGGAAGAAACGGAAATGCTTGACCCAGAAGAATGTCTGTTCTTTGTCCGATGTTTTCCCACAGGACTGAATGCACTTCTAGGTGCTGGTATGAGTCTAGCCTGGCTGCTGTGCTGAAGTTCAATCATATTCAAAGGATGCTCCATTGATTCCGTATTTCCATATCTGTTGATGTCAAGAGGGTCGTTAGGCTCTAACCTAGGACAGGTTTCATCATGAGGGTTGAACAGAACATGTGTTCCACCAGGTGAAGATGCTACTGGCAGATTGCTGTCATTGTCATCTGAGTGAATAGTGGTTGATTCTATGTCTGAGGTCATGCCATGGTTATGTGGTACCTCGTCACACTGTACTTCCACATTGGCTTCAGAAGTTAAGGTAATACCAGGGTTATTAAGTTGTTCACGATTCCTTGGAACTCTCAACTGTTCCTGTCTTTCAGAGATGTCATAACCTCCATCAGATTGGTCTGCATGCCAACAAGGGTTTACTGTTTCTTCATTTCTGTTGCAGTTTTCATCAACAGATTCCTTGGTACACCTAACATCCAATGAACTGCATCCTGAACTTATATCATATAAATGTCGATGATCAGATCCTGGGCCTGAAATGTTTCTCAAGAACTGTTCATCATTTGTTCTCAAAGGACTACAACCAGATGAGGATCTATTTGCTTCATCATCCTTACTCAGTTTCTTACAACAATGATCATCTTCTTCTTGGTCTTCCATCGCTGGACTGATCTCTGGGTCCAGATGCTGGTGATGAGAGTCTGGACCACTAATGTTGCTCACTAAGAGCTCATCTCTTGTCAGACTAGTAGCTGAAAGAGGTTTTCTTCTGACACCATCTCTGTTTGAGTGTTCATCATGTTCCTCATCCATCACTGAGCTGATGCCTATGTGGTCAGATGGGCAGTGGGGATCCTGGATATAGATAGCTTTGGTCCTCAGTTGACCAATGAATCCTGCACTGGAATGTTCAATGGGAATGTTTTCAGCAGAGGGTCTCTTTTGAGGTGACTGGCCAGGTTGTTCATTATATAACATCTTTTCTTTCTCAGTACCTTCTGTCTGTGATGTGTCTGGATGCTCGGGTTGGTCAGGTGGTGAAATCTCTTCTTTCTCAGTACCTTCTCTTTGAGGTGGTGAAAGGTCTTGTTCCTCAATATCCTCTAACTGAAGTGGTGAAATGCCTTGCTTTTCTATATCGTCTCTATGAGCTGGTGACATCTGTTGCTTTACAATATCCTCACTCTGAATAGGTGAAATCTCATGTTTCTGAATATCCTCTGTCTCAGGTGTCACCTCTCTGTTCTCACCACCCTCTATCTGTGGAGTGTCTAGACTGTGGGGTTGGTAAGATGTTTGTGAACAGGTGCTGAAGCCATTGAGGTCATCCGGACACTGAATGCTCACACTCCTTCCCGTAGTGACTTCACACTTTGTGCTTTCAACACTTTGTACATTAGTGCAGTCATACCCTGCCTCTCCAGGATGTGTTCTAGAAGAAGGACCTCTCTCAGTTTGTTCCTCCAGCACAACATCACCATGAGAAGCACACTGGGGTGACATATGTTGGCCATCAGAAGCTCCATCTGGGAAGCTTCCATCTGATATAGGAACATCAGTACCAGGCCCTGATTCACTTGAATGCTTCGTCATATTAGTTTGTCCTTCACAATCACCAATATTACCCTGCTGCACTGATGGACTTTGGCTATCAAAGTTTCTGTCCATTGTCTCCCTATCCACTAAAGGAAGCTTAACAGCAGATATATTTCCATTCCCACTCTTGGTCTGATCACTTGACCCTTTTACTTGTTTTTCAAGTTTGTTGGTGTTGGGAGAGTATTCCACAAGCCTGTCCAAGCATCCTTGCTTTAGAGATTGACTTAAGTGAGTAACATCTCTTCTCAAGATCTCTTCATCTGATTCAACACCATAAGTATTTCCATTCTTGCAATCGACTGGGTCACATTCAACTACTTCTGATTTGTTGGAATGTCCTTCAATGTTGGAATGTCTGTTTGACAAAGTTGGATTGTGTTCACCTCCTACTGAACTGTGTCTCTGATAGGAATCATGAGTTGTGTGGTGGCCTCTTCCCAAATCATCTTGATCTTCTTGCTTGTGGGAAGGACAGGGGTTGCCAATGCCTGTCTGTCTCCCTCCTGACAGATCCTCATCCAATACAGGTGATACACCTCTTCCACATGTTCTGTTTCTGTTAACAGGGTAATCAATTTTCCCAGCACTGTGATGACATTCATATCTGTTTGGATTGCTTAGTAAGCTGGCAACCACATTTTCACTGTCTTCTGATGTTAAAGGGTATAGTTCCTGATGTTCCTTATGGTCAGATTTTTCTTCATCAGTCTTATCAGCATCACCATCCTCACACAGCATCTCTCTATGGTCTTTTGAATCACGTGACTGCGAATGTACACTGACCACTATATCAATAGTTTCAGGACAGATCATTCTAGCAGAGAGATGATCTTCATCTTCTGTCTGAGTTTCAGCATGACGTGTATCAGATGCTCTCTGAGTGGGCGTCTTCTCTTCAGGATCTGTACCTGGACTTGTGTCATAGGCTTGAGTATGCAGGTTTTTGTCTAGTGTGGTTGGAAGCTGATTACATTCAGTATCTACACAGACAACTACTCTTGTTTCCTCTGGAGATGTTAGTGGTGTAAGTGATGACAGATCAGACAGCTGACTGTCCACAGTCGTGTCACTAAAATCTGTCAGACCTGAATCTCTTGATGCTGCAACAGGCTGTTCATTGTAAGGTAACAGTTCAAGTCTTCCCCCCTTCTTCAAAATACTTTCATCTGCTTCTCTCGAGGAAATCCTAAAGCCCATCATTACTGAGAGATTTTCAGTCCCAATTTCTTCTTCAATCACACAATTCTTATCCAATTCACCAGAAGCAGTGCTATCAGTATCTTCAATGACACCTGATTGTTGTTCAGCATTGTCAAAGGTCTCTCCCTTCTTGCTCATTCTGGTGCCACCAGGATCTGCTCACATCCAATTCCACTGAGACTGAACCACCAGGATCTGCTGTGCTTGTTTGTACGTCCTTCTTGCTCACATCCAATTCCACTGAGACTGAACCACCAGGATCTGCTGTGCTTGTTTGTATGTCCTTCTTGTTCACATCCAATTCCACTGAGACTGAACCACCAGGATCTGCTGTGCTTGTTTGTACGTCCTTCTTGTTCACATCCAATTCCACTGAGACTGAACCACCAGGATCTGCTGTGCTTGTTTGTCCATCCTTCATACTCACATCGAATTCCACTGAGACTGAACCACCAGGATCTGCTGTGCTTGTTTGTACGTCCTTCTTGCTCACATCCAAAGCCACTGAGACTGAACCACCAGGATCTTTTGAGCTTGTTTGTCTATCTGATTCTTCCTCTTGGTTTTTCAAATTCATGGTATCAACCCCAATGGATTTGCTTTCTGTTCCAGGGTGTGACTGAAGGTAATCATCTGGTGTAGTCTTTTCATCGCCACTAACATTTAGTTCACTTTCAGTTGTCAGATTTAGATCTTCTACAGCTGTGTTGGTCTGTATATTGACTGGCAACACGTCATCACCGGTTTGTGTGGTCTTTTCATGACTATTTATATTAAGTGGCAAAGTCAAATCTTCAGCATTTGTGTCAGACTTTCCATTGCCAAGCAAATGTTCATCACTGGTTTGGGTGGTCTTATTATCATTACACACAATTAGTTCACACGGTGTGGTCACAGCAAGATTTTCAGTTGTGTTGTTTTGTCTGTTGCTAGGCAACTGGTCATCACTGGTTTGTGTTGTCTTTTCATCACTAATCACATTTAGTGGAGTGGTCACATCAAGATTGCCTACCTTTGTGTAAGACTTTCTGTTGCCAGGCAACTGGTCATCACTGGTTTGTATCGTCTTGTCATCATTACACATAATTAGTTCACGCGGTGTGGTCACAGCCAGATTTTCAGTTGTGTTGTTTTGTCTGTTGCTTGGGAACTGGTCATCACCGGTTTGTGTTGTCTTTTCATCACTAATCACATTTAGTGAAGTGGTCACATCAAGATCGTCTACCTTTGTGTCAGACTTTCTGTTGCCAGGCAACTGGTCATCACTGGTTTGTGTGGTCTTATCATCATTACACACAATTAGTTCACACGGTGTGGTCACAGCAAGATTTTCAGTTGTGTTTATTTGTCTGTTGCCCGGCAACTGGTCATCACTGGTTTGTGTGGTCTTTTCATCACTACTCACATTTAGTGGAGTGGCCACATCAAGATCTACAGTTGTGTTGATTTGTCTGTTTCCAAGAAAGTCATCACTAGTTTGTGTGGTCTTTTCGTCACTACACACAATTAGTTCTCTTGGACTGGCCACATCAAGATCTTCAGTTGTGTTGGTCAGTCTGTTGCCAGGCAACTGGTCATCACCAGTCTGTGTATCCTTTTCATCATTACTCACATTTAGTGGAGTGGCTACATCAAGAACTTCTACCTTTGTGTCAGACTTTCTGTTGCCAAGCAACAGTTCATCACCAGTCTGTGTATCCTTACCATCACTACTCACATGTTGTTGAGTGTTCAGGTTTAGATGTTCTGCAGTTATGTTATTCTGCCTGTTGGTTGCCAACTGGCCATCATCAGTTTGTGTGGTCTTATCATCACTACTAACATTTAATGAAGGGTTCACATAAAGTTCTTCTCCAGTTTGTGACTGTCTGTTGCTAGACAACGGGACATCACTGCAGTCTCTGTTTCCTCCTTGAAAATTCACATTCACTTGACTTGAGGTTATCCCAAGATTTATTGGTGTTGTATTGTGATCTAGTTGTCCATCCTTGTCACCTGTGCCAGGTGATTGTCCTGCGCCTGAAGATGCATCGTCACTGGAGGCCATCACTGGTGGACCTACTGGATGCACATATTCAGCAAAAGCTTCATCATCAGCAGGTGTGTCATTAATTTCAGATGTGACATTACGCAGGTGTGTCATCAGATCAGCATCGGTAGGTGTGTCAGGCATTTCAGATGTGACATCGGCAGATGTGTCAGGCATTTCAGATGTGACATCGGTAGGTGTGTCAGGCATTTCAGATGTGACATCGGCAGGTGTGTCAGGCATTTCAGATGTGACATAGGTGTGTCAGGCATTTCAGATGTGACATCGACAGGTGTGTCAGATGTGACATTGGCAGGTGTGTCAGGCATTGGCAGATGTGTCAGGCATTTCAGATGTGACATGGGCAGGTGTGTCAGGCATTTCAGATGTGACATCGGCAGGTGTGTCAGGCATTTCAGATGTGACATTGGCAGGTGTGTCAGGCATTTCAGATGTGACATCGGCAGGTGTGTCAGGCATTTCAGATGTGACATCGGCAGGTGGGTCAGGCATTTCAGATGTGACATCGGCAGGTGGGTCAGGCACTTCAGATGTGACACCAACAGGTATGTGTGGCATTTCAGATGTGATTTTAGATTCTTCAGGATTTTCAGAATTGTCATCGGCAGATGTGAGGAATTTCAGATGTGACATTAGATTCTCCAACATTTTCCTCGATCAACAGGTGAGTCAGGCTTTTCGGATGTAATATCAGATGTGACATCGACAGGTGGATCAGAAAGTTGACATGTGATGTCAGTATATGTGTCAACAATTTCAGATGTGACATTGGCAGGTGTGTCAGACATTTCAGATGTGACATTAGCAGGTGGGTCAAGCATTTCAGACGTGGCAACAGCAGATATGTCATTAGTTTCAGATGTGACACTGGCATGTGTGTCAACCATTTCAGATGTGACATTGGCAGTTGATTCAGGCATTTCAGATGTGACATCCACATGTGTGTCAGCCATTTCAGATGTGACATTGGCAGTTGTTTCAGGCATTTCAGATGTGACATCAGCAGGTGTGTCAGCCATATCAGATGTGACATTAGAATCATCAGGCATTTCAGATGTGACATTAGCATCATCAGGCATTTCAGATGTGACATTAGAGTCATCAGGTATTTCAGATGTGACATTAGAATCATCAGACATTTCAGATGTGACATTAGCATCATCAGGCATTTCAGATGTGATATTGGAGTCATCAGGTATTTCAGATGTGACATTAGAATCATCAGGCATTTCAGATGTGACATTAGCATCATCAGGCATTTCAGATGTGACATTAGAGTCATCAGGTATTTCAGATGTGACATTGGCAAGTGTGTCAGCCATTTCAGATGTGACATTGGCAGTTGTTTCAGGCATTTCAAACATTTGAGAGTGGGTAAAACATTGAGGTGGGTCAAACATTTGAGATGTGACATTGACAGGTGGGTCAGGCATTTGAGAAGTGCATTTGGCGGATGTGTCAGGCATTTCAGATGGGATGTTAGGTTCTTCATCATTTTCAGGCTCGACAGATGGGTCAGGCTTTTCAGATGTGACATCAGCAGATGTGACAGGCATCACAGATGTGACATCAGATTCCTTAGGTATTTCAGGCGTAACATCAGCAGGTGTGTCAGAAAGTTCAGACTTAACATCAGGAGATGTGTCAGGCATTTCAGATGGGACATTGGATTGAGTCAGCCATTTCAGATGTGACATCGGCAGATGTGTCAGCCATTTCAGATGTGACATTGGCAGGTGAGTCAGCCATTTCAGATGTGACATTGGCAGGTGAGTCAGACATTTCAGATGTGACATTGGCAGGTGTGCCAGGTATCACAGATGTGACATTGGCAGGTGGGTCAGGCATTTCAGATGTGACATTGGCAGGTGGGTCAGGCATTTCATTTCAGATGTGACATTTTCAGATAATGTTTTCAGATGTGTGAGATTTCAGATGTCACACCAGCAGGTGGGTCAAGCATTTGAAATGTGACATTAGAATCATCAGGCATTTCAGATGTGACAGTGGCAGGTGTGTTAGAAGTTTCAGATGTAACACATCGTTTCGGGCAGGATGTGACAATAAAATCATCAGGCATTTCAGATGTGACGATTGGCAGGATGTGACATCAGCAGGTGTCACATTTTAGATGTGACATTGGCAGGATGTTACACTGGCAGGTGTATTAGACATTTCAGATGTGACATTGGCAGGTGGGTTAGGCATTTCAGATGTCACATCTGAAGGTAGGTCAGGCATTTCAGATGTGACATTGGCACATGGGTCAGAAGTTTCAGATGTGACACCGACAGTTGTTTTAGGCATTTCAGAAGTGACATCGGTAGGTGTGTCAGGCATTTTAGATGTAACACGGGCAGATGTTTCAGGAATTTCAGATGTGACATTAGAATCATCAGGCATTTTAGATGTGACATCGGCAAGTCTGTCAGACATTTCAGACATGACAACAGCAGATATGTCAGAAGTTTCAGATGTGACACCGACAGTTGTGTCGGGCATTTCATATGTGTCATTAGAATCGTCAGGCATTTCAGATGTGACATCAGCAAGTGTGACCTGCATTTCAGATGTGACATTGGCAGGTGGGTCAGGCATTTCATATGTGACATTAGAATCGTCAGGCATTTCAGACGTGACATTGGCAGATGTCTCAGAAGTTTCACATGTGGCATCAGCTGGTGTGTCAGACATTTCAGAATTGACATCAGCAGGTGTGTCAGGCAGTTCAGACGTAACATCAGCAGACGTGTCAGCCATTTCAGATATGACATCGGCAGGTGTGTCAGGCATTTCAGAAGTGCATTCGGCAGATGTGTTAGGCATTTCTGATGGGATGTTAGATTCTTCAGGATTTTCAGCCTCAGCAGGTGGGTCAGGCTTCTCAGATGTGACATCAGCAATTGTGACAGGCATTACATATGTGACATTGGCGGATGTGTGAGGCATTTCAGATGAAACATTGGCAGGTGTTTCAGACATTTCAGAAGTGACATCAGCAGGTGGGTCAAGCATTTCAGATGTGATGTTACAATTGTCAGTCATTTCAGATGTAACATCAGCAGATGTGTCAGGCATTTCAGATGTGACATTCGAATCATGAGGCACTTCAGATGTGACACTGGCAGGTGTGTCAGCCATTTCACATGTAACACTGGCAGGCGTTTCAGGCATTTCAGATGTGACATTAGAATTGTCAGGCATTTCAGATGTGACATCGGCAGGTGGGTCAGCCATTTCACATGTAACACTGGCAGGTCTTTCGGGCATTTCAGATGTGACATTAGAATCATCCAACATTTCAGATGTGACATTGGCAGGTGTGTCAGCCATTTCAGATGTGACATTAGAATCATCCAACATTTCAGATGTGACATTGGCAGGTGTGTCAGCCATTTCAGATGTGACATTAGAATCGTCAGGCATTTCAGATGTGACATCGGCAGGTGGGTCAGGCATTTCAGATGTGACATTGGCAGATGTGTCACTCATTTCAGATGTGATATCAGATTCATCAGCCATTTCAGAGGTGATCTTAGAAGATTTATCTGGCATTTCACTTGTGACATCAGCAGGTGTGTCAGAAAGTTCAGATATGACATCAGCAGAGGTGTCAGGCATTTCAGATGTGAAGTTAGATTTGTCAGGCTTTTCAGATTTCGCATTGACAGATGTAGCATTTGCGGAATGTTCATCGTCTGTCGGTATGTCTACATTTGGCCTGCTGTCACCACTTGGTTCACCAACAGTTGTTTCTGATGGCGTTACAGGAGTTACAGGTGTATCATCACTACTGCCAGCACTCACATAGTTAGATCCCGTCCTGTCCGATGCTACCATGGATGTTTCAGACGTCACCTCAGTCAGAGGGCAATCATTAGTCAGTGTGTTGCCATCCTCGGTACTGCTCAGACCAGTGTGAGTACAAGTAGATCGGCTTGGTGCTATGACTGTTTCTGAAGATGTGGTGTCAGTCAAAGTTTCATCCATAGATGAATCACACTCCAGCCTACTGGCAACAACTGTGACACTTGACATTGCCACAGTAGCTGTTTCAGAAGATGTTTCATCAACCAAAGGTTCACTACAAGATCTCGCACCATCCTCACTACAGGCAGTCACCTCTTCTGTCCATGAGTCAAAGGTATCTGAACCTCCTGTCACACTAAACAGCAATATCAGTCAGGTTTTCTTCAGTGAGAGATGTGTCAGAAGAGATCTCATCTGTTGATTTTTTACCCAGTTTGTCACCATCCTGCACACTGTGAACAGTAATATCACTACAGACAGTCAGGTTTTCTTCAACAACTGTTTCAGACGTGGCATCAGTCAAAGATTCATGACCATCAACAGCACTATCACAATTGCTTTCAATAGACAGAGACAGTTTAGGTACTGCAACGACAACTTCCTCCAGGACACTGCCAGACAGTTCTCCATCCCCACTCCTTGACAACCCTGGTGTGACAGGCTAGGTACTGCAACGACAACTTCCTCCAGGACACTGCCAGACAGTTCTCCATCCCCACTCCTCGACACACTCTGGTCTCCATGTCCTTCCCCATGTGATGTGTCTGCTACCATGTCACTAGAGTCTGTCTGTCTCTGGACCACTGTTCCTTCTGCAGTTGGTCTGGTGTTTGAAAACTGATCATCACAGTCACAGACTAAAGTATCAACCTGTCCACAGACATCCTCCTTACTGTCCATGTTCCTGTTCATTGAGACAGACAGACTTTTGTCTGTGGATGCACATTCTTCCTGATCACTTGCATCAGAATCATACCATCTGGCACCACCTTCTTTGCTATCAACATTCACGTCACTTAGACCTGAATCAACACCTGTTGTGTCAGAAATAACACTTCCACTTATAGTGTCATGAGAAAGAGGTGTCTCACTGTCTGTGCTATCAATGATCATGTCACTATAGGTAATCAAACTTGGATCAACATCTGTTTTGTTAGAAATACTTCCACTGTTTGTGCTATCAATGATCATGTCACTTGGATCAACATCTGTTTTGTTAGAAATACTTCCACTGTTTGTGCTATCAATGATTATGTCACTTGGATCAACATCTGTTTTGTTAGAAATACTTCCACTGTTTGTGCTAACAATGATTATGTCACTTGGATCAACATCTGTTTTGTTAGAAATACTTCCACTGTTTGTTCTATCAATGATCATGTCACTAGACGGAGTCAGATTTGGATCAACACCTGTTGTGTCAGAAGAAGTCCTTGTAGCTGAAGCTTCCTGAGATAGAGAAATCACACTGTCCTTGTTAGCAATAATCATGCCATCCAAGACAGTCAGGCTTGTTTCTGATGTTGGGCTACCATACCCACGAATATCTTGTGCCTCACCATCCTCCCTGTCCACAGCCATATCACTTGAGTCAGTCAGGTATGAACAACAGATCTTGTGTCAGACAGGTTTCATGAGACAGGTGTCTCAGATCTTGTTTCAGACAGTGTTATCATGAGTCAGTCAGGTTCTGAACAAGATATCTTGTGTCAGACAGTGTTTCATGAGAATCAGGTGTCTCACATTCTTGTTTCTTGTCAGTACTCATATCACTTGAGATGGTTACACTTGGATCAGCACTTGCGTCTGAAATAGTGCTGCTTGTTAAATGTTCATGAAAAGCAGGTGTCTCAACATCTGCCCTTTTGGTTTGAACACTCAGGTCATCTGACGAAATGTCCGACAGTCTGCTTTCAGTCAAATGTTCAACACTGACACCTAACACAGTTGGGCTGTCAGCCATCTTGCCTCCCCTGACCTTGACCTCAGTTGAAGATGACAGACTTACAGACAATGTTCTACGAGTTATCACATCATCCTCAACACAGTCTCCATCACAGTCTTGACCAGCAGATCCATCACAATCCTTGCTGTTGTGAACTATGTCCTCAGCAGAGGCAGTCATAGATAGCATGCTACCAGTTTCCAGTTCATCCTCAACACATTCTTGAACAGGAGGTCCATCACACTCTTTCCTGGGGTGAACCTTGGTTTCACCAGAGTTAGACACAGATAATGTGTTATGTGCTACTTGTTCATCCTCAAACAGGAGGTCCATCACACTCTTGAACCTTTGTTTCAGAGTTAGACACATCAATGTGTTATGTGCTACTTGTTCATCCTCACATTCTTGAACAGGAGGTCCATCACACTGTTGCATGTTGTGAGTCATCAACCCACTAGAGGCAGTCATAGACAGTGTGCCACCAGTTACCTGTTCATCGGCAGAACAATTTTCATCAGAGTCCCTAGAAGGAGATCCATCACACTCCTTCTTGTCGTGAACCTCCGTCTCATGAGAGGTAGCCCCAGACAGGCTTCTACCTTTTCCCAGTTCATCCTGAGCACATTCATGGTCAGGAGATCCATCACCATCAGGAGGCCCATCATTCCCAGGAGACCCATCACCCTCAGGAGGCCCATCATTCCCAGGAGACCCATCACCCTCAGGAGGCCCATCATTCTCAGGAGCTCCATCACCATCAGGAGATCCGTCACCTTCAGGAGCTCTATTCGCCTTCAGGAGCTCCATTACCCTCAGGAGATCCGTTACCATCATAAGACCCATCATTATCAGGAGGTCCATCATCCTTTGGAGATCCATCACCATCATCAGATCCATCATTATCAGAAGATCCATCACCCTCAGAAGATCCATCCTCCTCCTCTTTCAGTCTGCATTGTGACCCAGCCTTAGAGTCAGGCAGATCTGTAGATGCAGCCTTAGAGTTCTTGCTTTCAGCCAGTTGAATATCACAGACACAACCCTGTTCAGACTGATGACCATGTGGGCCATCTTCATCCACATCTTTATTCTCTCCGTCCACATAATGCTCATCACGAGTTTCTTCCCAAATAAACAGTCTGTCAGGAAGATGCTTGTCAATCATAGACAAAATTTCAGCAATTATTTCTATCCTTCTAGATCCATCTATTTCTGATGAGATTTTATCCCATTCACACTGTATATAAGTGAACTGAGTTTTTAAAGTGATATTACTGGGTCTCTTTGCACATTTCTTGGAAAACATTGGCGACAGACCAGTGGATGTTATGGAGTCATATCTACCAAGTGGAGTATAACATTCTGGTGAACTCGGAACACTCTTGGACTTATTGACAGATGTTATCATCTCTCCGTGATAATCAGTGTTTGGAATAGAATCAGTTTCATCACTTGAATATGTTCCTGTGTTCAAGGAGTCATCCTTCATGTAATGATAGTTCTCATTGTATGGTCCAGACATGTCCGGAGAGGGAAGAGTATCAGCAGAACATGGACTCTCTCTTCTGTAGGTCAGCCCAAGCTGGGTGTCATCAACCCTCTCACATTCAAATGAGCCTATCATGATATCTTCATCACGAAGCTGGGTGATATCTACATCATATATCCTCCCAGTCACAGCAACCCGTCCTGCACAATCCGTCCCGAACACGTCATTAACACACCTTCCATCAACATCACCAACATCTCCACCATCTACACTCGTGATGCTGATTCCTGACATGCTGCCGTGATGCTCAACATTTCTGTTCTCGACATCTGTTTCATCATATCGACTTAGTGTTCGTCTGGTCCGTTCATCTACCCCAGAACCACTGTCCCGACATCCCGACTCAAGTTCCTTCTTCTCAGAGGTACACATACAAAACACGTTCATCGTTCCCGGACTCCCTTCAACACTGGACGCTTTAAACATTCCTTGTTGAACCAGGAATTTCATCCAGATCAGTGGCACGCTGATGATTATCCCATGACTTGTCGGTATTGGAAATTTGGCGATCCTCCATATCACCCGTTGAATCCCCTGGCGGCCTTTATTCCGCTGTACTTCATTTCACGCACAGAAACTTGCAAGTTGGCGATGTATGAGGAAATAATTGCGCCTCTCCTCATCCTTCCACTCACTCATCACGAAGAAGCGAGAGATCGTAATGAAATGCTTAATTCAATACAGTATGTACACCAACAATGATGGGCATCATACAAGCAAAGCATGCATAACACGAGTCCCAGTCATGGCAGCTTAATCATAACTTCCACGTGAATGCTTAGTCAATATTCAATTACATTAAAATGTACTGTAATTTACCAAGGGACTTACAGATGGCCCAACGAACACCTTTCACCTGCGTTCCCTTATGTAACTAATGGGTCTTGCCAGATGAAGCCATGGGTGGGTCTATTGATGATCTGGAGGGATTTCAAAGTGATTGTTACCACCTGTTCCGGTAGGGAGGTTGTTATAAAGTGATTAACGACAGTCTGGCCTAGATTCAAAGTGGAGGAATTGATCAGCAAGGATGACAAGAGAGGCACAAGTTAACAAAATGCAGCTGGCTTTTCCATAGCAACTAGGAAAGGTCAAATAAATGGGAGTTTAACATGATTAAGACGACCATTGGAATTTACTGGTATTGCAACCAAATGATATAGCTGTTACTAAACAAACATTCATTATAGGGAAACTGGGTTTATTGATATTGATCTTTTGGGTAGCATGTATGCTGAATGCATCATATTTCATATGTCACGTTGCCAGTTCAGCGGGAATTAGCTGTTACTGCATTGACTTTCCATTACTTGACTTCAAACGCAGTTAAGTTTGGGTACTTTCGGACTGAGTGACTTGGGCTTAGCGCCTTGTTGAACATATTCTGTTATGTAATGGCATATCAAGAAAGAGTTTGAAAAAGCACAAGTAATTTGCATTTTACAAATTTAGCTAAACACACTATCTCCTTTATCTTGCTGCTAGGGAAAAGTTCATAAAGTGTATTGTGGGATTTGATCTCATGCACAGCAGATCCTGGCAGGCCCAAGGGAGGCAACTCTTATGAATGATTTCTAGGCAGGAATGACTGTTGGAAGCTAACATGAATACTCTGCAGTTAATTTTGAGAAATTCATAATCACAGGCTAAGTATTGGGGCAACAATAATTGCAGTCCAGAAACCACCTTTATATGTGGAACTGAACTTGGTCTCGCTCACATCAAGCTGGAACC